GCTTTTTTTCTTACTATTTATGTCTCGTCATTAATGGTCCATTGTTTTTTGTCTCTTTTATTATATTCTGACATAGAACTGGTTAAAGCTTTGCAAATCTTTTCAGAGGATATGAAGCTACATGTAATTTTTCATTCAATTGCTGAGTTTGACTATTATAATAGGATATCACCTGTAAGTAGTGAGACCTAAGACCAAAGATCTAGATACAAAGAGTAATACTTAGTATTACTATTAATATACCTTGTTTGTATTTCCTACAAGATATTTAGTGGTAAATTTATTCGCTTAAGAAAAATACTTCATTGTATTATAATTGTCAAGGAGTGAAAATCTTTGCTAAAAGCATTGGCAAAGTTATACTTTGCAAAATCTTTTATGTATGAAATGTAAACATACATCATATCCCAATAGGCATAGGCCTTTTAGGAAATCATAAGTGATCTAAGGACAAAAAAATTTAATTAATTAATTAATTAATGTATTTATTTATTTAGAGATGGGGTCTTGCTCTGTTGCCCAGGCTGGAGTGCAGTGGTACAATCACAGCTCACTGCAGCCTTGACCTCTCAGGTTCAAGCAATCCTCCCACCTCAGTATCCTAAGTAGCTGGGACTACAGGCACACACCAGCGCACCTGGCTAATTAAAAAAAAAAAAAAAGAATTGTAGATATAAGGTCTCACTATGTTGCCTAGGCTGGTCTCAAATTCCTGGGCTCAAGTAATTCTTCTGCCTTGGCCTTTTAAAGTGCTGGGATTCCAGGTGTGAGCCACTGCATCTGGCCAAAAGTCATTTAATTTTACAATAGATGTATTAACAAGATTCAAGTATTAGTTAATTATTCATCCCTGTTTCAGATGTTATCCTGGTAAAAAAAATTTTCTCAGCACCTATTGACTATACTTGGAAGGAAAAGGAAGATAATAAAAGCTTTTAGTCCTGCAAAGAGCAATTTCAGTCAATGAATTTAATAGCATAAATTATTTTTACTATCGTCTTTGATGGTATATGGAAAAAACTTAATAGATCCTCTCTTTTCACATCTGGAACTTATAAATCAATCTCGTTAGTAGCATGCTTTCTCCATGCTTGATGATAACTCATAGCAGCTGGGGGTTGGTATTAATCTCTTCCTTATTAGAGAAGCACATGCCACAAATTCATCATTCTGCATGAGAGCAAAGGTGTTAAATCCATTCCTCTGATTTTTCTCACCTTATTCTCCATGAAGCAATCCATAATGACTCTAGTGTTCATCATACAAAGTACGGGTTGATAGAAGAATGAAAAGTTTGAGGTGGAGAGCCTGGATTTGAATCCAGCCTCTAACTAGCTGTGTGATCCTAGCCATGTAACTTAATCTCTCTGAGCCTTAGATTATTAGTCTGCACATAGTCATTCTAGTTACCTCACAAGACAGTGGTGATGATTAAATGATGTAATGCATGGGAAAAGCATCACTCAAATGCCTTTTGAAAAAAACTTTTAATTATTGAAAATTTTAATTCTTAGGTCAAGAGAAAATTATTTTGTACCATCATGTGCCCATCACCCAGCTTCAACAATCATCCATTCATGGCCAATCCTGTTACATCTATACTCCACCCAGTTTCCCTTCCTTCCTCAAAAGGAATATAAAACAAATTCCAGACATCATGTCATTTCCCTGCTTAAATATTTTAGTATGTGTTTCTAAAAGGTAAAGTCTTTTTTTAGGCATAACTATGAAACCATTATCACACTTTAAAAAGTCAACAAATATCCACTAAGTATCTATTTCCCTAATTGTGTCATAAAAAAAGTTTTAATAATTATTTTACTTCCAGCCTAGGCAACATATGAGACCCAGTCTCCACAGATTTTTTTTTTTTTTTTTTTTTAATTCGCCACAGGTGAGGCACTGTGGCTCATGCCTGTAGTCCCAGCAACTTGGGAGGCCAAGGCAGAAAGATCGCTTGAGCTCAGGAGTTTGAAACCAGCCTGGGTAATACAGCGAGACCTCATCTCTACTAATAAACAATTTTAAAAAATTAGCCAAGGGTGGTGGCATGCACCTGTAGTCCCAGCTACTCAGGCGACTGAGGTGGGAGAATTGCTTGAGCCCAGGAGGTTGAGGCTGCAGTGAGCTGTGATCACGCCACTGCACTGCAGCCTGGGTGAGACAGCAAGATCCTGTCTCAAAAAATAAATAAATAAATAAAAATTATCTGGGCATGGTGGTGTGTTCCTGTAGTCCCAGCTACTCTGGAGGCTGAGTCAGGAGGATCACTTGAGCCTAGGAGCTGAGGCTGCAGCAAGCTGTGATTACGCTTCCAGCCTGGGCAAAAGAGCCAGACCCTGCCTCAAAAAAAAAAAAAAAGAAAAAAAAAAGAAAAGAAAAACATTATTTTGTGTGACTCAGGATTTAAATAAGGTCTACATGGAGCTTTTGGCTGATCTGTCTTTTTAGTTTAATCTGTAACTGCACTGTCCAACATTGTAGCCACTAGCCACCTATAACTATTTAAATTCAAACATTAATTAAAATTAAATCAAATTAAATATTCCATTTCTGCAGTAGCCATGTTTCCAGTGCCAAATAGCCACATGGATAGTACAGATACAGAACATCTCTATCATTGTAGAAAGCACTGTAGGACAGTGCTAATCTACAAGTCTCTCCCTTCTTCTATTTTATTCCTTTCAATTCAATTGTTGAAAAAAACCAAGTCATTTGTCTTATAGAATTTCAAACATTCTGGATTTTACTGATTGATTCCTGTGGTGTCATTAAACATGTTCTTCTGCCCCATGCATTTTCTATAAACTGGTGGTTAGAGTTAGAGACTAAAAAGCTTTACCCTTTTTTTGATCTCAAGTTCAACCATGTGATCTTGAGCGTGTAACTTGGATTATCAGTTCTCTCATATGTAAAATGGGGATAATAGTGTACCTATTTGTTGTAAAAACCAAATTATATAATTGATACAAGTGGTTAGCTTTGCACATAGATTCAGTATATATTAGTTATCATTTGCATCATTATAATTGTTATTAGGCAGTGATTCTTAAATCCCAGTTCAATTATATTTTCTGGATACATAAAAAAATTAAGTTTTCTGGAGACTCTAATTCAGTAGGTTTGTGGCCCCCCCAAAATCTACCTACCAGGTGAGGTAGCATGAGTTGTAGCTACTCAGGAGCCTGAGGTAGGAGGATGGCTTGAACCTAGGAGTTGAAAGCCAGCTTGGGTAACGCAGAGAGAATCTCTTAAAAAAAATAATTCTCAGATGATTCTAATGCATTTGTGGGTTTGGAAATTGATGGCTTTGTGATGTATAAACTTGACTAGGCTGAACTACAGTCCCCAGAAGTCCCTTTCTAGTATATTTCCCGTTTGAGTGAATGGCAACAGATCTCTTGCAAAAGTTGGGAGATGAAAGGGAGGCAGCAGATGTTTTGTCCTATTATAGTATACACATACTTTCCTTCAGTTATTCAATCAAACATAATCTGAGTGCTATCATGAAGGGATTTTGCAGTTGTAGTTAAAGTCCCTAATTAGTTGACTTTAAGTTGATAAAAGGGAGATTATCCAGGGTGGTTAATTCAATCAGTTAGAAGGCCTTTAAAATGGGGCTCTTCCCAGGCCAGGGCTTGCTAGTGAATTCTGTCAAATACTTAAAGAAGAACCAATTCTTCACAAATTCTTCCAAAATGTAAAAGAGGAGAAAACACTTCCCAAATTATTCTATAAGGCCCGATGCCAAAATGAAAGACAGCACAAGAAAAAAAACTAAACACTAATATCTGTTTTGAATATAGATGCAACAATTCTCAATAAAATATTAGCAAACTGGATCTAGCAGCATATAAAAAAGGATTATACACCATGACTAACTAAAATTTATCCCAGGAATGCAAGGCTGGTTTAACACCTGAAATCAATTAATGTAATAAACTATATAGTAGAATAAGGGACAAAAACCACATGATCATTTCAATAGGTGAAGAAAAAGTATTTGACAAAATTCAGCAACTCTTCATAATAAAATAAATCAACAAATAAGGAATAGAAGGAAACTTCCTCAACCTAATAAAAGGCATTTATGAAAAACCATGTTGGGTGCAGTGGCTCATGCCTATAATCCCAGCACTTTGGGAGGCTGAGGCGGGCAGATCACGAGGTCAAGAGATCGAGACCATCCTGGCCAACATGGTGAAACCCTGTCTCTACTAAAAAAAAATACAAAAATTAGCTGGATGTGGTGGTGCACACTTGAAGTCCCAGCTACTTGGGGGTCTGAGGCAGGAGAATTGCTTGAATCTGGGATGCGGAGGTTGCAAGTGAGCCAAGATCGTGCCACTGAACTCTAGCCTGGTGACAGAGTGAGACTCAGTCTAAAAAAAAAAAAAAAAAAAGAAAGAAAGGAAAGAAAAACCAACAGCTAACATCATACTTAGTGGTCAAAGGTTGAATGTTTTCTTCCTAAGATTAGGAACAAGACAAAAATGTCTTGTCTCACCACTTCTAATCAACATTTTACTGGAGGTTATATCCAGGGCAACTGGACAAGAACATTAAATAAAAGACATCCAGATTGAGTAGAAACAAGTAAAAATTGGCCAGGCGTGGTGGCTCACGCCTGTAATCCCAGCACTTTGGGAGATTCAGGCAGGCAGATCACCTGAGGTCAGGAGTTCAAGACCAGCCTGGCCAACATGGTGAAACCCTATCTCTACTAAAACTACAAAAATTAGCTGGGCATGGTGGTGTGCACCTGTAACCCCAGCTACTTGGGAGGCTGAGGCAGGAGAATTGCTTGAGCCTGGGAGGCAGAGGTTGCAGTGAGCTGAGATCATGCTATTGCACTCCAGCCTGGGCGACAAGAGCGAGACTCTGTCTTAAAAAAAAAAAAAAAAAAAAAAAAAATTATAGCTGCCTTTGTTACAGAAATTAACAAGCTAGTCCTAAAACTTACATGAAAATGCAAGGGACCCAGAACAATCAAAACAATCTTTTTTTTTTTTTTTTTTTTTTTTTTACCAGTCATCTTTTATTTGGAGGTTAATTCCCATTAGGACATGAAAGGATTCAGCAACGATCGAGATTGTGTTCCTCACAGAGGGGCTCAGGCCAAGGTCGTGGGGTCAGGGGGTGGTGCATAGTGTGTCCTCTTCAGTGGTATTTGCGGAGCCGCTCGTGCTTGAGATGCTTGTAGGAAATGCTGTAGTTGAAGAGCACGTAGCATGTCAGCACCATGGTAATCCCTGAGATTCTCCCCTTCTTCACGTTAATGTACTTGTTGTAGTACCGGTAGTAACCTCTTCGAAATGCTCCGAGAATGCCACTAGGGCTGAAGTCCCGCATCAAGATCCATTTTGGCAGCTCCCCCAGTTTGACCTCCAGAAGTTTCTTGTCCTTCACTGGTACGACTGACGCCATCTTGGAGTCCTGGTGTCCGCTGTGCCTCCAAAACAATCTTTAAAATGAACAAAGTTGGAGAACTTACACTTCCTGATTGCAATACTTACTACAAAGCTATAGTAATAAAGATATTGTGGTGCTGACAGAAGACAGAAATATACATCAATGGAACAGAATTGAGAGTCCAGAAATAAACCCTCTTACATTTATGGTCAACTGATTTTCAATAAGGGTGCCGAGATAATTAATGAGGGACAGAATACTCTTTCCAACACATGTGATTGAGACAACTGGATATTCACATATACAAGAATGAAGTTAAACCTTCAATCTCACATTGTACACAAAAATTATTTCTAAGGGGATTATGGATCTAAATATAAAAGCTAAACCTATAAAACACGTAGAAGAAAACATAGGAGTAAATCTTCTTGATCTAGGATTAGGGAATGATTTGTTAAATATGACACTAGCAACCAAAGTGACAAAAGAAAAATATATCTATATAAATTGGACTTCACCAAAATTTAAAATGTTTGTGCTTCAAAGAATATCATCCAGACAGTGAAAAGACAGCTTACTAAATGGGAGAAAATATTTGCAAATTATGTAGTTGATAAGGGACTTGTATTTAAAATATATAAATAACTCTTACAATTCAACAATAAAAAGACAACCCCATTTGCAAAATGAACACAGGATTTGAATAGACGTTTTCCAAAAAAAATATATGAATGGGCAGTTAGCACATGAAAAGGTGTTCAACATCATTAGTCATTAGGGAAATGCATATTAAAACCACAACGAGATACTGTTTCACATCCATTAGAATGGCTAAAAAAAGTTTCTAAAATATACAATAACAAGCCAGGCATGGTGGCTTATACCTGTAATCCTGGCACTTTGGGAGGCTGAGGCATGTGGATCACTTGAGGTCAAGAGTACGAGACCAACGTCGCCAACATGGTGAAACCCCATCTCTACTAAAAATATTTGAAAAATTAGCCAGGTGTGGTGGCAAGCACCTGTAATCTCAGTTACTCGAGAGGCTGAGGCAGGAGAATTGCTTGAACCCAAGAGGCGGAGGTTGCAGTGAGCCAAGATTGACAGCCACTACACTCCCGCCTGGGCGACAGGGGGAGACTCTGTCTCAAAAATAAAATAAAAATAAAATAAACAGTAACAAGTGTTGATGAAGATGTGAAGAAATTGGAATCCTTATTAGTTGCTGGTGGGAATGTAAAATAGTGTTGCTATTTTGGAAAACACGTTGGCACTTCCTCAAAAATTAAACATAGAGTTACCATATGACCCAGCAATTCCACTCCTAGGTATACACCCAAGAGACATGAAAATATAAGTCCACACAAAAACCTTTACACAAAAGTTCAGAGCAGCATTATTTATAATAGTCCAGGAGTGAAAACAACTCAAATGATGAATAAATACTATTTTTTTTTTTTTTTTTTGAGACGGAGTCTTGCTCTGTCACCCAGGCTGGAGTGCAGTGGCCGGATCTCAGCTCACTGCAAGCTCCTCCTCTCGGGTTCACGCCATTCTTCTGCCTCAGCCTCCCGAGTAGCTGGGACTACAGGCACTCGCCACTTCGCCCGGCTAGTTTTTTGTATTTTTTAGTAGAGACGGGGTTTCACCGTATTAGCCAGGATGGTCTCGATCTCCTGACCTCATGATCCGCCCGTCTCGGCCTCCCAAAGTGCTGGGATTACAGGCTTGAGCCACGGCGCCCGGCCTAAATACTATTTTAAATGTGATGTATTTACACAATAGAATATTCAACAATGAAAAAGAATGAAGCACTGATACATGCTACATCATAGATGAACTTTGAAAACATTTTGCTAAGTAAAAGAAGTCAGATGCAAACATATTCTATGAGTTCATTTATATGAGTTGTCCAGAACAGGCAAATCTACAGAGACAGAAAGTAGTTATCTATGGCTGGTGGTGTGGGGGTTGGATGGATACAGGACTTTTTCCTGGGGTGATGAAAATGTTCTAAAATTGATTGTTATGATGGTTGCACAACTTTTGTAATATACTGTCATCAACTGAATACTTTAAATAGGTGCATTATATGGTATGTGAATTTTATTCCAATAAAGCCGTTATTTAAAAAGCAGGGAGGGAAGGGTTACATCTCCCCTGAACTCAGAGACTCCAAACAGCAGCTGGACTTGCAATTGCACTCCCTTCCTCCTGGATCTTCCTTCCTGACTGCCTGTGGACAACAGACTTTAGCCTGTTCCCATAGGGTTCCAGCCTGCTCATGATCTTCCCTTCCTGACTGCCCACTCTGTGGATTTCAGGCTTGCTTAGCCAGCCCCACAACTGTGTAAGCCAATTCCTTGTAACAAACTTGTTCTGCCTACTGGTTGAAACCTGTTATGGAAACCAGTGGTCAAGAGTTTCTCTAAATATGTATCTCAAGAACCTGGGGTAGTTATCTGGTTGAGGATTTAGGGGTCATGGATTCTGCCAAATATCAAATCACCATTCACTTTTAGAATGATTGTTGACAAGGCTTTGGTCAGAGGGAATAGCAGTAGTTGGGACTGGAAAAGCAGCCTCCAGTAAAATCATAGTGATTCTTTCTTTGTCCAAGGCGAAGAGATCTCTCTTCTTGACCATGAGCTTAATTTTTAAGCTCAATGGGTAAAGCGAACAAAAAGCTGAGTATTTTGGGAGGCCAGAGAACATTTATTGCTTAACTTGATGTTTCCCCTGCTGTGGAGAATCACGCATTTTTTTAACACCCTTGGTTCTATGCATGCTCTCACTCCTCTCACACACTGTAATTGATTAATGAGTTTGCAGAAGATAGTGGGCAGGCACAGCCTAGCTACATCCTCTTTCTTTCTCTGGGAACTGAGCTTTCTGCAGGGAGCCCACACTTCCCTTTGCTCTTCCATTCTATAAATTGTACTTATATAGTAAGTCCTCACATAACATTGTTGATAAGTTCTTGGAAACTGACTTTAAGCGAAATGATACATAATGAAACCAGTTTTACCATGGGCTAATTGATATAACAAGAGTTAAGTTTCTATGGCATATTGCTGTCACAAAACATCACCAAACTTCTAAATAAAGACCCAAAATACTACTAACATTAAACATTAAAATAAATGTGAAGTTACCATATATTAAAGAAAGATTAACAAAGATAAACAAGGTAATTATTTACCCAATTTTTGATGAATCAGTGAGCAATGGCAGTCATTGTGGTGGAGGTGAAATCTAGGAAGAAATGTTTACAAAGTGAAGATTTTAAGGAGCACCTACTACCACAACAAAGTTCAAAAACAGTACGCCAGGCATGATGGCTTATGACAGTAACCCCAGCACTTTGGGAGGCTGAGGCAAGTGGATCACCTGAGGCCAGGAGTTCAACACCAGCCTGGCCAACATGGAGAAACCTCATCCTACTAAAAATACAAAAATCAGCCAGGTGCGGTGGCACGCTCCTGTAATCCCAGCTACTCGAGTGGCTGAGGCATGAGAATCGCTTGAACCCAGAAGGCAGAGGTTGCAGTGAGCTGAGATCACTCCGCTGTACTCCAGCCTGCCTCGAAATAAATAAATAAATAACAGATATGGTGGGCTTGCCAAGTGCTTTTATGTGGCATTATTGTCAGGCATTTGTATGATTGCATGACAATCATACAAATTTGCAGACTTTACAGATTTTTACTTGACAATGATTTGTATTATTCATTCATTCCTTTTCCAACCGTCTTGTTCCAGTTCAGGGTAATGAGTGGCTGGAACCTCTCCCAGTAGCTCAGGGCACCAGGCAGAAACCCACCCTGGCCAGCATGCCATCCAATCGCGGGGCACACTCACACCCACACTCACTGAGATTGGGACCATATAGCATGCCAATGAACTTCACTCACATCTTTGGGATGCAAGAGAAAATCCATGCAGATGTGGGGAGAACACACAAACTCCACACAGACAGCGGCCCCACTGGGAATTGATTTTTTTTCATAATCAACCTTATAACAAAATGATACTAAATGAAAGGACATTATTCAAGGACCTGCTGTACTTGACCCCATGAGAAGAGGGCTAGGTTAGGCCAGAAATATCTGAACCTACACATGCAAGACTGTCTTGTAAGTGTGAAGTTGTTTTAAGAAGTCAATCTGCCTACAGGTAAGTGTCATATTATCTGTTCAAGTCTTTATTAATAATGAAGATGATATGTGGCCTCCACTCAATCCCTAATGTCTTAGACTTTTTTTTTTTTTTTGCAGGGGGTTGGCAGGGTGGGTGGCGGGACAGAGTCTTGCAGCTAGAGTGCAGTGGTGTGACCATAGCTAATGGCAACCTCAAACTCCTGGGCTCAAGTGATCCTCCTACCTCAGCCTCCCAAGTAGCTGGGACTACACGTGCACACCACCATGCCTGGCTAATTTTTAAATTAGTAAATTTTTGGTTGTGATGGGGTCTCACTAGGTTGCCCAGGATGCTCTTGAGCTCCTGGCCTCAAGTGATCCTTCCACCTCAGCCTCCCCAAGTTTTGAGATTGTAGGCATGAAACACTGCATCCAGGCTAGATTTTATCTCATACTTTATCATTTGATTCAGAATTTGAAAGGGATGGTAGTTATTGGCCCCCACAAAGACTTCAGCATGAGACAGTAGAAGAAGCAATTTACAAAAAAGTTTTGGATATGTGCAATAGTAATGCCCAAAGTAATAATTAAATTCTTAGACTTTTTTAAGAGTCAGAAGGTGGCCGGGCGCGGTGGCTCAAGCCTGTAATCCCAGCACTTTGGGAGGCCGAGACGGGCGGATCACGAGGTCAGGAGATCGAGACCATCCTGGCTAACACGGTGAAACCCTGTCTCTACTAAAAAATACAAAAAACTAGCCGGGCGAGGTGGCGGGCGCCTGTAGTCCCAGCTACTTGGGAGGCTGAGGCAGGAGAATGGCGGGAACCTGGGAGGCGGAGCTTGCAGTGAGCTGAGATCCGGCCACTGCACTCCAGTCTGGGCGACAGAGCGAGACTCCATCTCAAAAAAAAAA